CTGATCAATGTTTCTCTCTCATTGATATTTCTAACTCTCTATCCCTCTCTCTTCTTCTCTGTAAAAAATCAATAAAATATATTTTAAAAAATAAAATGAATAAAAAATAAATAAAGTGAGAGGGAGAGAGAGAGGGGGGAAAAACATCTATATGAGAGAGAAACATTGATCAGTTTTCTCCCAAAGCATTCAAACCAGGGCTCAAACCCACCACCTGGACATGTCCCCTGACTGGGAATACAACCAGCAACATTTCGGTGCATTGGACAATGGTCAACCAACTGAGCCATACCCTCCAGGGTTCCTTAAAAACTTTAAATGTGCTCCCTACTAATGTGACTCCTTTAATATCTCCCCTTTTCTAAATTTTTTCAAATCCACCAAAGGGAAAGTGAGTGAACAATCTCAATATCATACAATATATATCTCCTTTACACTTGGGAATATCTTCAATCTTTATGATCAAAGGATGAATCACACAGGAGATAAAATTCTGCCTACTCATGTGAATAAGACCCACAAAATTTCTGCACAAACATGCATGTCCTTCTACCCTGTCCTGACTACCTGGAAGGGGTCACTTTTATACAGTTATTTAAAATATATTGAAATAACAGAATAATTATGAATGTTGTCCTCAAATATCAGTAGAAATGCCAAAAGTAAGTAGTAGCAGATTATTAAAATTTCCCTAAGGTCTGTTTGCTTTGACTATAGTTTCAATTCACTATCTATATATATAAAAGCCCAGCAACCCAAAATGGCAGAATGACCAGTGCTATGATGTGCACTGTGGTGGCCAAGCAGCCAGATCTGGGCCCCAATTGGCCCTTCCCCAACCTCCCACGACCCTTGCCCCAGCCGGTCCCACCCTTGATCAGGTTCCCCCACCCTTAATCAGGTCCCCCCACCCTGATGGGGGAAGAGCCAGCTAGCCAACCTCCCAGGGTCCTTCCCCCTCTAGCCAGCTGGCCCCCCAATAGACCTCAATCACTAGCCAGGCCGAGGGACCCCCCACCCTTGCACAAATTTGTGCACTGAGCCTCTAGTTGCTATATAACAAGCCATCCTAAAGGTAAATGTTTAATACAATTCCTTTATTTTCCAATGGATTTGTGTAGTGGAGAGATGTTCTGATCTCTGCTGGTCTCCTCATGAATCGGCAGTCAGCTATGGGTCAGCTCGGATGTCTCTGCAGACCTTGGCTGGGCTTTCTAATGTATTAGGGGCTTAGCTACTACTGTAACTCATTTAGGGAAGGCTTGGCTGGGATAGATGAGCTCTGTCCGCAAGTCCTCTCCTTCTCTGAAAGGCCCACCTGGATTTGTTCACATGCTTGAGGCAGGATTTTGAAAGATAGCAGCAGAAATGCACCAAGGCCTGGTAAAGCACACTGTCACTTCCACCATATTCTATTGGCCAAAACAAATAAAAAATCTTAAGTCCAGTCCAGATTCAAACATGGAGAAAAAGACTACTCTTCTGGAACTCACAGTCACATTGCCGAAGACATGAAAGCAAACAAAAAAAACTGGGGCCATCTCTGGAAAGGGTCTATCATTTGTGTATATTTTACTTCAGAAAAATTTTATTTCTGCCACTGCCCTGAATGGCTGAATCTTGGAGAGTGAGAATAAATGTATGCTTAATGAATAGATGTGGAAATTCTACACTAGAAGGTCAAGCCTCCAAATATAAACATGCCCCCTCTGCCACTTGCCTCCTGATTACCATTTCTAGGCTAAAGAAAAATAAATTTTTTTCCTTCCAGATATCTGGAGTACAGGGACTTAATTCATTGATTAACAGAGCTAGAAACCTATTGCTTTCTTGATAATTATATTTTTGTCACCCTCATGTAGACCTTGCTTTTCTTTTTATTGACCTGCTCTTACCATATTCATAATAATTTCCAATCTGATACTTGTATTTATTGGGGGTTCAGGTCCTGATGGAAGGAGGTAGCATTTGAAATGCACATACAACAGAGAAATTGTTATTTTAAAGAGGAGAGAGAGTTGCTAATGTTATGCTCAGTGAGAGAAGCCAGTCCCAAAAAGACAAATACTACATGGTTTCACTTACATGACATATCTAAAGTAGTCAAATTCATAGAAACAGAAAACAGAATGGTTATTGCAGGACCTGGGAGAAGGGAGACTGTGGAGTTAGAGTTTAGTGGGTGGAGAGTTTCAGTTTTGCAAGAAAATGGAAAAGTTTTGGAGGTTGATTGCACATCAATGTGCATGTAATTAACACTACTGAACTGCATACTTAAAAATGGTTACAATGTTAAATTTTGTTATGTGTTTTTTACCACTTCAAATCCTATATAATAAAAGAGCTAATATGCAAATAGTCGTCATGCCCTCACACCATAATGCCATAATGGATCAGACACTCAACACTGGGGAGAGAGGAATGGGGACCAGCCAGGTTGCAGTCTGGGAGAGGGACAAGCTGACTGCCCTGGGTCCTGGACAGCAGCACCTGTGCCTACAGCCTGGGAGAGGTATAAGTCGCCAGCCCATGGTCCCCTGCACCTGCTGCCTGCCTGCACAAAGCTGGCCCAGGTCCTGAGTGCCTGAGGCTGGCCAGAGGGAGGGAAGCCTGGGTCCCAAGTGCCTGTGACCGGCCATAAGAGGAAATCTGGGTCCTGGGAATGGGATGAGGCAGAGGTGGTTATGGGCAATCAGGCCAGCAGGGAAGCAGTTAGGGGTGATCAGACTGGTAAGGGAGCAGTTAGGGGCGATCAGGTAGGCAGGCAGAGGTGGGTAAGGGGCGATCAGGCAC